AGGTAGCTTATAATCCTAAAAGGCCACTAGAGTCAAGATCCAATCCTTAATGTTGACCACAACAGTAGGGAGTCTACTAGATGTGAGACCTTAAGAAAAGATTAAACTCTACCTAGGGTTTTCACGATAGTCAAATAGGACGTGTGTCCAAAATGACACCGCTACATAACCCTTCTAATTCTAAGCATACTCAGACCCGGGTATAGGGCCCTGCTCAAAGTGTGTGATGAATGTGTAAGTGGGGTGTGTGAAGGAGCATACAAACCTTATCAACCCAAAAAATAAAAGCTGCAAAATTTAACACCACGAGAATACCACAAAATATTAAGAGTCATTTAAAATAAGGTTAACAAAAATATCAAAAGAGTATATACAAAAAGATTACAAAATTTATACATGAAATAAATACGAGAATAGAAGGAACATAATTCAATTAAATCAAATAAATAAGAAAAGAGAAAGGGATTAAGCAAATAGAAATAAAATTAAACAAATTTGCACAATTAATTATCAAAGGCTTGACTATCTAAAAAGTTCCTAGCAAAGTCGTCATCTGTTGCAATCGGGCGGTCACAATGGTACAGCAAAAAACATTTTTTAAAAAAATCAATAGAGTCGCCACCAAAGTTTATCAAAGAAAACCTTGGAAAAACTTAAAATTTTGATCTTTGAAACTAAAAATGGATTCGAGAGTCATTTACGTATAAAGAAGGTGTTAGCACCCTACAACGTCCGTTAAATAACAGTTACCTTAAATTAATTATGTAAATTTATTATAATTTTGAAAAGTATTTATTTAACCTTAAAAAATAAATGTTGCTAATTTTATTTTTAAGGAAAGAAAATTTATTTCTTAAAATATTAAGTCATATCTTAGAAAGAAAAAATATTTTCAAAAATTATTTTGATTCAACGGATATGATTCCGCTCCTACGTATCCCCGAGTGCAATGGAGAACTCAAAGTCACATAGTTTTATAAAAATTACGAAGTTAGCTAATTAAAATTAAGTTTAGTAAAGAAAATTTGTTTTGAGATTAAAATTGTTTTCATAAAATTGGACGTTTAGGATACAAACTAACGCAGTTATACGCGTATCCTACAATAAATGATGTAGAAAGGTGAAGATAGATCACACAGCTAAATTTTAAATAAATAAAATTTAAAAATATTTGTAAAATAAAAAGGTTTGAACTTATACTTGGATACGAATATTTATACTTCAGGAGAATTTAAGATAGCGTAAACTATACATAAATTTCTCATGATTTATTGGATAATCGAAGGTAATGTAAATTACACGTCGATATTGCAAAGACTATAAAATTATATAACAAGATATTTTAGCTATTCATCAAAATTAAAAATATGACTTAAGAAAATTAATTTTGTTTAATAAGAAATAAATATATTTAAACTTATTAGAAAAGATAATTATTTAATAAAGATTAAAGCTTAATTTAATTAATTTATATTGATAGGACCAAAGGTAACGTTTGTATACAAAATCTTAACGATTTAAAGCGTATAAAGGTAGAGATGCTACACAATATCGCTATAAATCACGATATTAATATGATAAAAATATTCTAGATAGTAGATTTTAATTAAATAAAACATATAATTTATTAATTTTGGAAGTTGAAAAGAATTTTTTTTAAAATATATTAATGGTGTTCAAAACCTAAGGTAACGTTGGTACATATAGATTTTGACAATTTATAACGTATAAAGGTAGAGTTGCTACACATTAGCATTATAAATTGTTGAATTAATTTTATTTATTTATTATGGTTCTGAAATAAAATATAAATTATCAATCATAAAATAAAAGACAACATCAACTCAAGACAAATTATACTAACTTTACAAGAAAATAAAACAATAATGAAAGTAATATTAACAAACCATTAAATAAGACTAATAAATAAATATTTAAGATAATTAAATAACATAAGATAAGGAACTAAGTCTTTAATATTTTTTTTATTCATTCCACTATTATTGATATTATTATTTATAAAGATAAAAGAGAGTTTTAAAATAAATAGATAAATAAATAAAATAGAAACAATAAAATGTCTAAAAGTTAATAACAAAATAAAACACATATGATACATAAAAATAATAATTCTAAAATTTCTTATTATTATTATTTACAAAAAAAATATAATTTATAGTTTATAATTTACAAGATAATAAATAATAATAAAACTAATATATATATATATATATATATATATAGTCACGGGAGGGTCATGCCATCAAGTGCATATTCACGTGATAAAAGTTAGTAATTGTGGTAACAGAAACATGTGAGCTGATACTGATATGAGTAGGTAGCAATTTCACTTTTTATAAATTTTGTACATTTTTTTCTCGATTTTTTATAGCAAAGTTGAACAAGAAACGGAACACCTTGCATAGGAGCAGAAGAAGAAGTTGGACAAAGAGAAGATTGAAAACATGGACAACGAGAAGATTGAGACCCTAGGAGTACTCACCTCGGCAAAAGTTACGGGGTTGATGGCTACGATTTGGGAGAATATATGTGGGTATGTACGGATTAAAATCTTTGCTTCTCTCTTCTTCTTTTTTCTCGGTTACCTTTCAGCTCTTAATGCTTCTCTACATTTTTTATTTCCCTTCTCCGATTTTCTTTTCAAAAAAAAAACCCCTCCCGAATGCTCTCGCTCCCTTTTTTATATCCCCTTACTTTACACTTTGTTGCTTCTCTTTTCAGATTTTTGTATGTTTATTTATTGCCTCTATTTCACTTCCTTTCTCATTTGCTCATACACATTATTCATATTTCTTGCAATTTCTTTTTTTTATGGGATTTTTGCAGGTGACAAGAGCAATTTTTACAGGCAGGGAGAGCAAGTTGCTTGTTCCTCATTTCACAGAGTCTTCCTTTCTTTTTTGCATTATTTAATTGAAATAAAAAAATGTGTATTCACAATTATTTATGGTCATTGTTATTAGGTTGAGTCATAATGGATAGGCTTGATCTATCCTGTTATTAATTAGAGATGCTCATGCTCCTAACCACTTCAGAGTAACTATTACCCTATTAAGATAGTGTATGTAAAATATCTAAAAGGGTGATAGGAGAAGTTCTGCTTATGGCTTTCTCTCATCAATCAAGGAAGTACTCAATTATGGATTCATTAATTTCAACCATTCCAGATAATTCTAACACTTAATTTTATTATAATGTTTGTTTATCATTTATCATATTAAGAATTAGATCCCAATTTTGTTTTCATGTTTTTTACTTGGAATAATAGCATAAGTGAGCATTTTACTCCCTTTAGGGGTATAAGGAAGGGTGATCCTATTTCTTCCTACCTTTTGTTTTATGCATGGAAAGGTTAGGCCACTTATTCCAAGATAGAATTATGTCTACAAAGTGGATTTCTTTTTCTTTCAATAAAACATGGCCCATAATTTCTCATTTATTTTTTACTGATGATAATGTTTTAGTCGCTAAGGCAGATATGTATCAAGCTAGTGTAATTAAAAATGTCTTATTTGATTTTTGCTTAGCTTCTGAGTTAAAAATTAACAATAATAAATCTTTCATTTATTTTTCTAAAAACACTGATTTTGTGCTTATGCAGAATATTAGTAATTACTTAAAAATTAATCCCATTTCTCAATTTGGTAATTATCTTGAATCCCAATTAGCCATAGTAAACCTTCTAAGTAGGACTTCGTATTTATTATTGATAGGATTGGAAAGAAATCTCTCCTTGAAGAAGGAACTTATTATCTATAATTGGTGATGTGACCTTAGTTCAATCATGTCTTAAGAGCATTTCATCTTACCTAATGCAATCTATGTTAATTCTTAATTCTGTTTGTAATGAAATTAATAAAATTTGTAGGCAATTTATTTAGGGATCTCTTGGAAGTAGGAAGTTCACCTAATTGGTTGGGATAAAGTTTGTAAACTTAGGATTGAAGGTGAGTTAGGCTTCAGGAACTTGATCTCCTTCACCAAGCCTATTTAATACAATTATGTTAGAGAATGATTACCTCTCCCTCTAGTCTTTGGTTCAAGTGGTTACTAGTAAGTATAATTTTTGTGCTTGACAAAAATTCCTATTGTGCAGCTAGTTGTGGGAGTCTTATTTGAGATTATAAAAAACATTTAGTTATTAGATTGTTTGCTTTTCTCTTACAGCTGATTTGTGAGTCATTTATTATGGGTCCAACTAGTTATTCAGAAAGATATTTCACTCATTTAAATTAAAAGTGATTCTAAAGAAGATATATTTTTAATTTTAACGATACAAAACTATAACTATAATTTATATTCCTTGATTCAGGATATTAGGCTTTTATTTTAAAGTATTAAGTTTGTTAAATTTAGTATTATTTGTAGATAAGTCAATCAAAGTGTCTATAGACTTGCAAATTTAGGCTTTAAGATTTGTATCCCTTCTATCTATTTTGATAGGGTTGACTTTTGCTAATTATGGACTTTTTAGGTTTTTGGATCCCTAAAATAATTTTTAGTTTGTTTGGACTCTTAACTTCTATTAATAAAAAAAATTATTTTATGAATTGAAAATTTTAAAAATTGCTATATATATATATATATCATTAATAAATTTTATTATTTTAAATTTAAAAATCTAGTTTATTTATTATTAATTTAAAGTTAATTATACTTATAAAATAGTTTAATTTAATTTTAGAAAAAATTTACTTTTTTAGTTTCAATATGGTTTTATTTAAGAAAAAAATTATTACCTACTGTATTTAAGAATGTAGGACAAATATTTTATTTCTATTATTTTCATAATTATAAATAAAAAAATCTTAATCAAGAATATAGGCAGAATATTGAAGGAAGAAAACCAGGACGCCATAGGTGTTAGCTGAGGAGTGCACTCCCAAGTCCCAACTTGTAGAAAACAATTCCACTAAGAAAGGGACACGTGTCCGCATGGCATTTGCTATATTCTTATTAAATTCACACCAATTTCCGATTCTCCGATCCATTCCTCCATCTCTCACCTTCACCCACTCATGGCTCGCTACTCTCTCTTAGCTCTCCTCCTCTTCGCCGCCGTAGCAACCGCCGCGATCGCCACTGAGGATGACGACCTCCTGATCCGTCAGGTAGTGTCGGACGGCGAGGCCGAGGAGGAGGATCACCTGCTGAACGCGGAGCACCACTTCTCCACCTTCAAGTCAACGTACAAAAAGACCTACGCGACGCAGGAGGAGCACGACTATCGCTTCGGCGTCTTCAAGTCCAACTTGCACAGAGCCAAAGTTCACGCCAAACTAGATCCCTCCGCCGTCCACGGCATCACCAAATTCTCTGACCTAACTCCGGCGGAGTTCCGCCGCCAGTTCCTCGGCCTGAAGCCTCTCCGTCTTCCGGCACACGCTCAGAAGGCTCCCATCCTCCCTACGCACGATCTCCCCAATAATTTTGATTGGCGTGACAAAGGTGCCGTTACTAACGTCAAGGACCAGGCATGTTCTTACTTTTTTTTAATAATAATAATATTTTGTTAATGATTTTCTTTGATCTGATGTTTATTAAATGTGTTGACATGTGTGTAATTAGGGTTCGTGCGGTTCGTGCTGGGCGTTCAGCGCCACGGGAGCTTTGGAAGGAGCTCATTATCTGGCCACTAGTGAGCTTGTGAGTCTTAGCGAGCAACAGCTTGTGGATTGCGACCACGTGGTTAGTTTCCCTCTCTTGATTTCTTCTCTGTTTTCTTTTACCCCTTTTTATTTTTAAGCTTTCCTTTCGTATTGTGTTTTTTTTTTTTTTTTTTTTGGAATTGCTGTGCATGATTTGGGCGTGTTTCTGGTATGTTATTGTACAGTGTATGATTGGAAACGGAAAGCGTAAATTTTAGTAAATAATTGCTTTCTCTGAAGAAGATTTGGGTTTTTATCATTAAATTTTGGTCGCTGTAAGATGATCTGAACACATGCCACAAAATATTACAATAAAAACATGATGTGCCCCACCATAAATTTTTGGGCATTTCAGATGTTGTTGACTACTTTTTACAATTTTTTTACACTTCTTTTTACTGTTATATTAATACTAGTACAAGTGGGAATTCCATGATGATATACATGATGGTATCTGATAAAATCATCCATGAATAATTGAATATGATGTGTGATAACTTTTCAGACATGGATTTTCTTTCTTAATTTAGGATTTATATTTTTTTCTTGTTAATTTTGTGGTAATCTATAAGTTGTAAAGTAACTGTATTGTACTTTATAATTATTAAAATGTATTTTCATGTTTCGTGTAATATGGCATTTGTGTCCAGACCATTATATGTACCTTCTATCTGGTAAGCAGTAAAATACTAAAGTTAGCTGTTACAAAAAAAACAAAAAATAAAATAAAATTAGCTGCCATCCTAATTTGTAATGATGAATTAAGGGCTGTGAATCTCGCAGTGTGATCCAGAAGAATATGGAGCGTGTGACGCGGGCTGTAACGGTGGGTTGATGAACAATGCATTTGAGTACATATTCCAGTCTGGTGGAATACAGCGAGAAAAGGATTATCCATACACTGGAAGAGATCGTGGCCCTTGCAAATTTGACAAAAGCAAAATTGCGGCTTCTGTATCTAATTACAGTGTGGTTTCCCTTGACGAAGACCAAATTGCTGCAAACCTAGTGAAGAATGGCCCTCTTGCAGGTAGCTAATAACAATTGTTCTTTTGGTTTGACTCCATAACAAATTTGCTTTATTCATCTCATTTTTCAGTGACAACTTCGAGAAATATACTGACTTTTGCTTTGCTTGGTACAGTCGCTATCAATGCAGTTTTTATGCAGACATACATAGGTGGCGTCTCTTGCCCATACATCTGTGGAAAGCATTTGGATCATGGGGTTCTTCTAGTGGGTTATGGCGAAGGTGGATATGCTCCCATTCGTTTCAAAGAAAAGCCGTACTGGATCATAAAGAATTCGTGGGGGGAGAGCTGGGGAGACAATGGATATTACAAGATCTGCAGAGGTCGAAATGTGTGTGGAGTGGATTCCATGGTCTCGACTGTGGCTGCTGTGCATCTATCTCACCATTAAATGCATTGATATGCCTGATTGTGGTTGTTCAATGTGGTTCTAGGCTCGGAAAGTTTGTGTAAATATTAAAGTTGTGAACTGTATCGTCTGTTACTGGTAAAATTATCTCCATAATAGGATCTGGAAACTGCTACGATCATGTTATTGTGTAGTAGGTAATTCTGTAAGCTTGTTAGTCCAGTGTCGTTATACGTTGTTATGGCAACTTGGCGAATATATCAATCTGAATATCTGTACTTTAAATATTTATAACCTTTGAATGATTTTGTGCATATTTTGAAATATCAGGGGTAACTTGACTGGGAAAACTAGCTAAAAAGAATATGTGAGAATCAGGTGATGATAAAATAGCTTCTCACGCTAGTACGATTGCAAATGGCAATAGTCATACGAATGTGATGAATGAAAACTTGGATACTATCTGAAATAGCAAAAATGATCAAGAGGAAGATGGGTAATGAGTACCTGAAGGTGATATATTAGATGAGGTTACATTGAAAGGTGATTACTATTGACTGATGAGGTACTGGAGTCACAATTGTGAGAGGAAAGGAAACTTGAAAAAAGAATCGGAATTGATCAAATATATCTCTCGAAACAAACAAAAAGGAAACGAAAAATGAAACATAAATGATCAATTAAGCTCTATCGGAGACTTGCTTAAGAATAAGAAAGAGGAATCTTATGTAAATGGCCCGCAAAATGGTGCAAAACGAGCACTTCAGTTTTAGTGGAATGGCAAAGAAATTCGAAAGCCACCTTTTTGAAGGCTGGTGAGGGGGAGCTCAAAACTATAAGGGCAATATATTTGCAGGCGATTATGCCTCAATTATGCACAATCCCAACAGAGTGTGATTGCCACCCTCAATGTTGGTTCTTATAAACGTGTAGTGCCACTGGCACACATATCCAAAAGGGTACAAAAATGTTTAGATTATTTCTGTACCACAGATTCCTTTTTTTGGGTCAAATACCATAGATTCATTTACCTTTTTTGAGTTTGGGCAGGCATAACAATTTCGATGGACTTGGATACGAGCCCTTCATTAGCCTGTCCTGTTACTGTAATGGAGTTACCTATTGGCAAGAATATGTGGGCTCAACAGCAGTTCATAAGATAATACGAGGAATAAGGTTGTTCACAAAACAAAACGAAGAACGAGAGTCGATTCCCGGGTAAAAGGTTTTACTAGGCTTAAGGAAAATCTAATAATGGAATAGATAGTCTACCTGAGCAGTCTTTCAAAAATTTGCATTCATGAATGTAAAACAATTTTGTAAAGAAAACAAGCTTTGATTTTCAGGACTAAGTAGACATAATAGTAGCGTGATTAATATTTGATGTCTTCCCTCTACAACTGCCAAGTGTCACACGCCTTACAGTTTCACGAACTTTGTCATAGAGAACAGTTGAAAACTCTTAATGAGACCGAAAAGATCAAAATCTGAAGAAGATTTTAAAAGCATATGATTCATTTCTAAAGAGGAAAGGCATAACTTCAAGGTCCATTCGTAAAAGTCAAAAGTGAAACATATCATGAAAGGAGTAGCACTAGTCAAAGAAAACACTTGACAAAGCAAAATAAACTAGCCTAAGACCAAAACTGAAGAAGAAATTAAAAGTTAGGATGTGATGCATTTAGAGATGAATTTCTGAAAGGAAAGATATTAGTTCAAGTCCCTGAATAAGATTTCCAAAATCATTGAAAAAAAAAAAAGTGAATAAACAGGAAGATCATTGAAACTTGCTGAGTTCTAGGCAGACAATTATATAAAATATTAACAATTGAGTAATTTAGTTCCAGGAGTAGGAAGACATTAAATACATCCTGAAACTTAGAACCTTGTTGGCAGTAGAACATAAAAATCTACATATACAACGTATATGATAACCACAAGATGATGGAGATCCAGAGAGACTTTTATAACATGATTAACATTTAATAGTAAATACAGTCTAAAATTTTCAATAATACTAGATATGACTGAATTGAACTCAATACTAGCATATAATCTATCATAATATTTTAAATGATATCAATCTCAGTTCTGTTGTAAGGAAAAGAAGCAAACAAGCAAATTATTATTCAAACGAAACAGGCAAGTTTTAAGGGTTCCAATTTTCTGTAACTATCAGTCAAAATAATCCATCTGTTCCTCAGTAGATTCAAGCTGGTATTGGTTCAAACATTTGATTAGGAATTCGACCGACACAGACATCACTTAGCGTGAGACTAACGTTTAGGATATTCAAATTTTAGCACGCAATGTCAATGCCCATGTCAACATGCCCCCACTAACACGCAAATATGCATAATAACCCCAAAGGCATGTGAACAATTAGTGGAATATAATTGTAAAAGGACGGGTCATTTAGCAAAAGTTAAGAAAGATGTCGACAGAATTATATTTTAAATGTTATTTGAACCATAACATAAGAAATCTAAATGATTTTAGATAATCATAAAATGAAATCCTATGTTGCTAGGATGCTATCAGCTAGCTACACAACACAAAAGGTTTTTGACTTAAATGAACTTTTAAATTAGTCTCTCTATCATACAATTTGATGTTGTTACTCTCACTTCTTACAAAAATTTTAGTAAATTGTGCCTTGAATAAGATTGCTTTCTAAAAGAAATAAAAGAGTGGGACATGGGAATAAAAAAAAGACAGAGATGAAGGCTTACCATGCTTAGTTAAATATATTAAGGTGTGACTAAAGCACGGATACAATTCGATACATAAATAAAATAAGATACGTTCACGTATATGACAAATTTTAAAAATTATCTCTTCCTTGAAACAACTCAATTAGTTAAATTGCGAGATATGATTGTGAAAGTATGGATTTGATTTCTTCCAACTCAGTTTGTCTCCCCTTGAACCCTTATTATGAGTCTTCCCTTCGACCAAAAATAAAAACAAAAATTATAAGACGCAACAGAACTATTACTGGTTGAAAACTATAAGTATACAATATATTAAATCAATACGAATAGAAAAGTCTGAAATTAAAAGCGATAATTGATATTTATAATAAGGTTTGTACGAGTCAATCACACTTGTATTGGTATACAAGTTCAAAAATAAAAGTGAAGACATTGTAAAAAATAATTAGAATTATTCGAAATTGTGAACTGTCCTACAAGAAATTGCCTAGAAGTTGGATACGGCTACTACTTTCAAGTGTCCACACTTCTATGATGATTAAGAGTTTGATCTCAATGACAAAATTTAGAGGGAAAACAGGAATCAATTTTAGGATGAACTTGGCAATTTCAGGGTAGCTCAACCATAAGCATCTACATTTTCTTGGAAAGCATATGTAAATGCATTTGTGCAGAAATATGTATAGGTGGTGTTTCCTTTGTATAAAATATCCCCCCAACTCATGATCTAGAATCCAAAGTTGCCCGCTGCATCATTTTGCAAAATTAAAATAAAACTAATAACATAATCGAACCAATAAAAAAATTGTTGCAAGTATAGGTTTAGATGCATATTATATCTGAAATCAAATTCACAATTCATGAACAAAACAGGACATCAGCATTCTGCTACAAAATGGATAATTTTCCTTCTTCACGTATTAATTAAATTTTAAGACAGCAAATGCCAGTACTAGAATGAAGAAAAGGTGCAATGGGAAAACTAGGAAAAAATAGGCAAGTGTTGTGCACAACTTAAAAGAGTGTCTTAAGTCAATAATTGTGTACGCAGAGAATACCCTTTCAATATAAATAAGAATAAGGGTTGGTTCGGTATTCTGGTAATGACTTCAAAATGTTATCCTTGTTTTATAAATTTTACTCAAGTTTCTTCCTTCGAAATGGCACTTTCCCTGTTGGGAACAAATGGCTTACTAAACTAAAGCCAATGGAGAAACACTGTGGAACTTGGACAAGAAAAATCACCCGGAAAACAAAATTTAATAATTCCCATTTGTCTGAAATATGACATTAGAATATTCAGGTATTAATTTTTTCACTTTAGAAATATCCAGGACATATCAAATATATAGTATTTATCAACATTGCCACGTTGAATGTTGTATAAATAATTTATTGTCATTGGCATGTTCATACAACATTGCCCTAGTTGCTGAAACCCAGCTACTATTGGTCACCAAAGCAGCATGGCTTACCACAAATACTGTTACAGTACCACTTAGATCATTATAATGTCTAATTTAAAGTTGCTAGGGGCTCTCCTCTGTGTAAGAGGAAATTTATATTATGGATTTAAGATCCGTTTATTTTAAAGTTTCATATAATTGATGATGATAAAAATAATTTTAATATTATACATGATTAGAATGTGTGTATAGATTGAATTTTTATCATAAATTAACATTGGAATTTGTATTTTTCTTTACAATGTAAGAGAATTATTTTTTCTAAGAAATTGCGGCTTAGTGTCTATACTTAACAATAGATTCTAGATATAAATATGTAACTTTCCATCAATCCTCTTTGCAGGATAACATCCCCTATCAGTGTTGTACCTTTATTTATAAATCTTTTTCTAATTCTCCCTCAACTTATATTCCTAAACACCTATAAGAACTTATTCGATGCGAGCCATGTAAAATAGGAACTCTAAGCCTTCAATGATCAATAGATATTCATTAATTCACTTAATTATTAGCTAAATTTTATTAAATTAAAAACAAAGTTTAATAAAATTTTATTATTTTTATTAAAATTCAATTAAAAGTGTGTTTTAAAATAATATATTTAACAAAATGTATTGTTAGCATATTTTTCAATAATACATATACCTAGTTCTGTTATTTGCAAATTTGCATTACATTATTCCGTCTTCTTTGGTCAGAGATTATTTTCATTTTTATTATCATTGTAATTATAGCTATCAGATGCTAGTAAAGATATACAAGCTTAAATAAATATTAAAAACAATTGCATATATGATTATACAATAAATAATATATTTTGAAAAATATTGATAAATACCTTTAAAGTATCCATTAGCATAAGCCAATATTTATTATGTAAATCAAACTTAAAAAAATGTCACGTGGGGATAAAATAGAAGTATTGTATTTTGATTTTTTATTTTTTTTGTTTTCTTATATTTTGTTTATATTCTTTTTATTTTTCTATTTCTTCCATTTTTTTATTATTTTATCTATGATATTTGATTTTTTTATTTTTATTTTTCTTCTCTCTCTCTCACACACACACACACACTATAGACGTATGTGAGAAAAGCATTACCCCAA